AGATAAACGAGTTTCTTCTGCAGAGGAATTTCAAAGAAATTCCCCAAGAAGTGGAGGAAAACCCCTACTCCTTAAGTATTGATTGTGCACACAGTAGCCTCTTTCCAAAGAGTAGAGTATGGAAAGGAGTTGAAGAGAGTAACTTTTCGGTGGAAAAGCTTAGTGTATTTGTTTTCTATTGGTGCTGTAACAAGTGATCACAAACTTAATGATGCAAAACAATAAAACTTTATTACCTTACAGTTTTGGGATTAGAAGTCTTAACACTGGACTAACATCAAGGTCTTAACGGGGATGTGGACGGGGCTGCATTCCTTTTGTGGGGTTCCAGGGGAGAATCAGTTTCCTTGCCTTCTTTAGCTTCTAGAGGCTCGCCAAATTCCTTGGCTCATGGTCACCTTTCTCTACCTCGAAAGCCATAAAGCAACAGGTACTGTTCTCCCATCACATCACTTGGGTCTGCTCCCTTCATCTGCTTTCTCCTCTTCCTCTGACTCTCTTTCTTATTGATTGCATTGGGCCTACCCAGTTAATTTGGGATAAGTTTCCTATTGGAAGGTCCATTGATTAGAAAGCGTAATTCCATTAATAGTCTTAATTTCCCTTTGTCATGTAACCTGACATATTACAGGTTCCAGGGATTAGGGCATAGACACATTTGGTGGGGGGCTAGTATTCTGTCTACTACATCTGGCTAGCATTGCCTCAGCAACAGAAGTAAGTGATGCTGATAAATCATGTACACTTGATTGGTGATGAGAAAGGTACATTACTTCTGTGATGTTCCCCCCACCCCCAACCAACCATATCCAAGTGTAATTATGAGAAAAATGTTAATATTAAGCACATCTCCATTGAGGGACATTCAGTAAAATAACTGAATAATAGAACTCCAAACTGTCAAGGGTCATTGTGGTAGGAATGTGAATGACTTCTAGAAGCTGGACAAGGTAAGGAAATAGATTCTCCCCTAGAGCCTCCAGAAAGGACCAAGCCCTCCTGACACATTGATTTCAGCCAAGTTAGACCTGTATTGAACTTACGGCCTACAGAACTGGGAGATAATAAATTTAGATGATTTTAAGCCACTGAGTTTGTGGTAATATTTTACTGCAGCAAAAGAAAACTAGTACTGTCATCAAAAACAAGAAAAGTCTGAGAAACTGTCACAGCCAAGGGAAGTCTAAGGAGACTTGACAACTGAATGTAATGTGGTATCTTGGTTGGGATCTGGGAACAGAAGAAAGAACATTAAGTAAAAATTAAGGAAATCGGTATAGATTGTGGATATTAACTAATAATAATGTATCAATATTAATTCATTAATTGTGCCAAATGTGTGGTGTTAATAATAGGGAATGCAGTGTGTGAGGTACATGGGAGCTTTTTGTGCTGATTTGCAATTTTTCTGTAAATCTAAAACTATTCTAAAATAAAACATTTAATAAAGAGCAAAATAAAAAGTAGAGTCTTAATATATAAACCACCATTAAAATGGTGTCCCATTGTGGTAGGTGAAAATATCCAAATGCCCAATGGGTGATCCAGGTAATACTTTATTAAGAATCTACCATGTGCAGGGGTACTGTAGATTCATAAAATGAATCTTTCAGGGACCCTCCTCTCAAGAAACCTAAGTTCTAGTTGAGATGATAATACATTTGTGAGTTGCTATAATAGTGAGAAAAGGCATAAAAGCCATGAGTCTAAAGCTCAAAGGACATTTGAATAAGAAAATGAACTTCCACTTGGGGACTTTGTGAAGGAGGCAGTATTTGTATTCTGCCTTGAAGTATAACCAGAGCTTGTACGTGCATACTTGAAGACGAAGAAGAAGACTGACAAGCCAAAAGTATTACAACAAAGCCCTAGGAAAAGAGGATGTTAGCAGAAGTATGTTGACTTGAAGTGCCTTGAATGCCTGAATTATATCTGTCTTGTTCATCATTACATCCTCTTTGCTTCCAACACAGCAGGCATCAATTGCTTCACAAATATAGGTTGATTACTGGAAGGAAAAATAGATGGGAAATAGGTTGTGAAGATCTTCAGTGCCATATTAATGAGTTTAGTCACTTAAAGTTTTTAAGCAAAACAACATGATTTCAGCTGTTCTATGGAAAGATTAATCTGGCAAAACAAAAGCAGTTTACATGGAAAGGGAGAGGAAGGAAAATATTAAACTTGTACAAGTGAGAAATTATAGTAATCTTATTTATTTGCTAAAATAATCAGTAGGCTCTTTTTATTAAAAATTTGATTTTTGTTTATATCAAATTAACACCTTATAAAAATCAGTGATTTATAATGAAAAATACCAGTCTCCTGTTCAAGCAGAACAACCCCGGTGTCTCCATATTAGAGATGGCAGCTTTCAACTCTTTTAACCATTTATTCTAATATTTACGTCCTTATTTTTAAGTTTCAAACATATATGACTAGTTCTTGTTTTTGAAATTTTAGGTGCTATTTTTTGAATCTACTCTGAAAAATGAGCATTTCACTTTCTCACACTAACTCATAATTCCTTATACTCACTCCCATAATTCCTTTTCCACATTTGACTAGTATAGGTATAATAATCATTTTTGCTAATCAGTATTTGGTGTTTACAAATTTATTATAGATAATGGCTAGACCAATAGCTAAGCCACATGGTCTACTATGATTATCACAGTTTCTTTTTTATATAACTTTTCATTTTCGTTGAAGGTAATTGCTTTGTTTTTTGTTTACTTAGTTTTCTATAGCCCTTTCAATGTGGTTAAGCGCACTATGACATCTAATGCACCAAATTAGAGCAAATATTTTCTAAGATTGTTCTCAGGATAATACATTATTATAAGACACATTGTCTTTGAAATTCTAACTGCCTTTTAAAGAAATGAACACTTTTGTTTCTTTGATTTCACATTTTCCTCTATACTCTCTGGTTTTCCTGAAGTATGTTCTGCAAGGAACTTACTCTGGTATTTGGAAGGTAATAGTCTTAAAAGATTATATGTCTATATACTATTGTTCAAATTAATATATTAGATGGATATAGAAGTGTAGTTTGAAATTATTTTTTCCTGAGAATTTTGAAGCTTTCCAGTTATCTTCCAGTGCCTAGTGGCATGCCTTTTTGATTTCTGATCTTTTCTATGTAGAATATTTGTTATCCTTGGAAGTTTTGAGGTTTAAAAACAACCCATGATGTTCTGAAACCTCACTCTGTGTGCCTTGGTGTGGGTACTTGATATGGTTTGGGTCTGTGTCCCCACCACATCTCATGTTCAATTGTAATCCCCAGTGTTGGAGGTGAGGCCTGTTGGGAGGCAATCATATCATGTGGGTGGATCCTTCATGAATGGTTTAGCACCATTCCTTTAATTCTATTCTCGTGGTAGTAAGTGAGTAAGTTATTGTGCGATTTGGTTTGTTTAAAAGTGTGTAGCACCTCCCCTGCCCTCTCTTGCTCCTGTCCCAGCCATGTAAGACGTGCCTGTTTCCGCTTTACCTTCTGCCATGATTGTAAGTTTCCTGAGGCCTCCCCAAGAAGCAGATACTGTCATGCTTCCTTTACAGCCTGCAGAACCATGAGCCAATTAAACCTCTTTTTATTTAAATAAGTTATTCAGTCTCAAGAATTTCTGTACAGAAGTATGAGAACAGATTAATATAACACTTCTTCCTTATTTTTCATGTAGTTACATTTTTGTTCTGTTTTTCTGACAGTTGTTCCCTCCAGTTTTAATTACCAATACTTCAAGTGAATACAAGTATTATATACTCTTAATCCTCTTATTTTCTGAAGATTTTAAAAAAATAATTTCTGTTCTCATTTCATGAATATAATCGTTCCTTTCTGAGAATATTAATTAGAGGTTTGGGGAAGAAGTTTTTACTCAGAGCCCTTCTCATTTATTTATTTAGTCTTTCATGTCCTTGAAGGTCTAATGATACTTGACTTCTATTTAGTGTGATTTAAGGTTGAGTCATTCTGATTTATGCTTGGCTTAGACATCTCTATAGGATTAATAGACAGCATTCCCAGTATTTTGCACAGGAACCCTCATGTGTCAACTGTATAAGTCTTTTATTTCAGGCCAACTTGGGGAAAATTCTTCTACTCTCCAATATTCTGCCCAGGGAGCATAAATCCAGCTGCTCTTTTCTATGAACCAATTAGGGGAACTTGGATTGACAGGGTTCTTCACCCTTCATTTTGTAAACTTTCACTTAATTCTCCTGTTTTAGGTTGGTGTCTTATATTGTATTAGCCGTTGTTGTGCAAGGTCTTACAGAGATTATGACCTCTCAGATTCAATTCCTACAAAAATTAAGCCTCACCCCTGTTGGGATGGAAAGCAGTAGAGGAAAAATCTTAGGCTAGAAATTGCCCATTGCATAGTTCCATAATCTCTTATCTGAAACTCTTTGAGCCAGACATTTTTGAAGATTCAGATTTTTTTAGATTTTAGAAAATAATATGGTGCATAACTAATATAAAGTTGGTCTTTGAACAATGAGTCAGGGGTGCTGAATCCCAAACACTAGAAAATCCACGACATAACTCTGACTCCCCCAAAACCCTATTATTGACCGGAAGCCTTCCTGATAAGATAAACAGTCAATTGACGCATATTTTGTATGTCGTCATGGTAGTCTTATAAGAAGGTAAGCTAGGGAAAAGAAAATGTTAAGACAATCATAAGGAAGAAAAAATATATTTATAGTACTTTACTGTATTTATCAAGGCTCTAAGTTTACATTGCCTGTTTAGAAGATGAATCACCTGTCTGAAATGGGGGGTGGGGTGGCAGTTGAAGCTAAAAACCTCAATCCATGGTACATATCAAGCAATTCAACTTTTTCTTGTAATGTCATGCCTTTCTTTGCTTCTTGGGAGAGCCTCCAGAATCACTAGTGGCACTTTGAATGGGTCTCATGGTGTAATTCAAGGTTTATGGTATTGCACTAAACACAATGAAAAATACTCAAGAACCAAGAGAGATTACTTTTTACTGTGATAAGCAATTTACTGGAGAGAGAAACTGCTCATGCAGAGATGATTAGCATCACATGGTGTTTTAAGCAGATACTTGCAACACTTGAGCTCACTGCGACAGCAACAGGAGGTGACTAGAAATTATTACAGTAATATAGCATTACTACCGTTAATTTTATTCAGTTGTGTTTTAATACTGCAACTTTATGTTTGTTTACATATCTCTTGATTGCAAATGGAATCCTGTACAGCCTGTAAGCATGTGTGTAAGTTTTGATACATTTTACCTTTTTATAGTAGATTTGTGTGTACTTTATGGTAGTAAATGACAAAGTAGACTCCTATCTACATATATTTTGTGCATTCATGAGATACATTACTTTTCATTAATTTTTGATATTTCTAGGTCATGGGGGTTCATCTGTGAGTCTTTTCAGATTGTCAAAATTCTCCAAAAAAATTTTTAATATATTTATTGAAAAAAATCTACATATAATTGGACCTGCACAGCTCAAACCCGTATTATTCACGGGTCAGCTGTATTACCTAGTGAACCTGTGGTAACTTCCTTAATCAAACACACATTGAATTTTCTGCAGTGGAACATTAATATTTATACTAAGAGGGGTGAATCAAGACTATAATTATCTTCATATATTTTCATTCATATTTTGTCAGCAAATTTTTGGATATAGTAAAATTTTGCTGCCAAATAAAAGTTTTAAAACATTTTGGGTTTTTCAGAAATTTTGTATTTAGGAGCTGCGGGAAAGGAATGATTGAATCTCCCTCTGTCCTTCAAAGGTTAATAATGCCTCCAATTCTCCAACTTTTCTGGAATTTTCTTGTACCACTTGCATCTCCCTTTGCAAGGTTAGAGTTGTCTTTTTCTGCCCTGTCGAATCTGACACCACTTGTCCATCTGCTGTCTATCTTCCAAAATATGACTGATATTTATTTTCTTCTTTTGTATCTTCTGCCTTAATGTTTGAACATGTATGTCTTTACCTATTTTATTACTTAATGGACTTCTTAGTGGAACTTCAGGAATGAGCAGAGATAATTGGATGTGTCCAATGCCATAATTAACCATAATTCACCTGCCAAGGGTTCACCAGAACCCCGAGATCTAGAAAAAAATGGTTTGCTGAGTTAATAGAATTCTATATTCTACAGTCACATCTCAGTTAAGAGGAGTGAGTTGCAGGGCAAAGGTAAAGGACAATGATTTCGTAAGCTTTTACCATCTGAAGCCCTTAAGAAATAGAATGTCTATTTTGGAGGTAGCCACAGGCTCATTAACAGCCTGGCTGTAGTGGGGTGAATGTTTCTCTTCAAAAACCTCCCACCCCAAGACTCATATGTTCACATCCTAATATCCAGAACTATATGGCAAAATGTGTGATTACTTTAAAGGTTTGGGTTTTTTTTGTTTTGTTTTGTTTTGAAATGGAGTCTTGCTCTGTTGCCCAGATTGGAGTACAGTAGTGTGATCTTGGCTCACTGCAAACCTCCAGGGTTCAAGTGATTATCCTGCCTCACCCTCCTGAGCATCTAGAATTACAGGCACCCACCACCCAGCCAGTCTAATTTTGTATATTTTTAGTAGAGATGGTGTTTCATTTTGTTGGCCAGGCTGGACTTGAACTCCTGGCCTCAAGTGATCTGCCTGACTTGGTCTCTCAAAGTGCTGGGATTACAGGCGTGAGCCACTGTGCCCGACCAAGTTAAAGGTCTTGAGAGGAGGATTTACCGTAGATTATTCTATGTGGGTTATACATGAGGAAGTTTGGAGTTAGGCCAAGAGAGAAGGTACTGTGAAGACAGAGTGGAGAGATGAAACAACACACCAAGGATTCCCTACAGTTACCAGAAGCTGAAGCGGCAAGAAATGCATGAGCCTGTGGAGCCTCTAGAGGGAGTGCAGCCCTGCCCACACATTGATTCTGGCTTATAGAACCAAGAGAAAATAAATGTCTCTTGTTTTAAGCCACTCAATTTGTAGTAATGTCTTACAGCAGTCCTACAAAACAAATACATGAGTCATGTCACGTTGTTTTGTCTTTTGTGAGTGAGCACAAACTCTCTTTGTGTAAGATAAACCTGTGAATTATTTTTAAAATTTATTTATTTATTATTTTCGAGATGGAGTCTCACTCTGTCGCCCAGGCTGGAGTGCAGTGGCACAATCTCAGCTCACTGTAACCTCCACGTCCCAGGTTCAAGTGATCCTCCTGCCTCAGCCTCCTGAGTAGATGGTGCTAGAGGTTCATGCCACCACACTTGGTGAATTTTTATATTTTTAGTAGAAATGGGGTTTCACCATGTTGGCCAGGATGGTGTCAATTTCCTAACCTTTTGATCCACCTGCCTGTGCCTCCCAGAGTACTGGAATTACAGGCGTGAGCCACCACACTCAGCCATTTATTTTTCATTTATTTTATTTTACTTTAAGTTCTGGGATACATGTGCAAAAAGTGTGGGCTTTTTAAATAGGTACACATGTGCTATGATGGTTTGCTGCACCTGTCAACCCATCATGTATGTTTTAAGCCCCACATGCATTAGATATTTGTCCTAGTGTTCTCCCTTCTTTTGGCCCTCACCCCCTGACAGGCCTCAGAGTGAATGTGTGATGTTTCCTTCCCTGTGTCCATGTGTTCTCATTGTTCAACTCCCACTTATAAGTGAGAACATGCAGTGTTTGGTTTTCTGTTCCTGTGCTAGTTTGCTGAGAATGATGGTTTTCAGCTTCATCCATGTCCCTGCAAAGAATATGAAGTCATTCTTTTTTTTATAGATACATAGTATTCCATGGTGTATATGTGCCATATTTTCTTTATCCAGTCTATCATTGATGAGCATTTGGATTGGTTGCAAGTCTTTGCTATTGTAAATAGTGCTTCAATAAACATACATGTGCATGTGTCTTTATAGTAGAGTGATATATAATCCTTTGGGTATATACAGTCAGTAATATTATTGTTAATCAAATGGTATTTCTGGTTCTAGACCCTTGAGGAATTGCCACACTGTCTTCAACAATGGCTGAAATAATCTACACTCCCACCAACAGTGTAAAAGTGTTCCCATTTCTCCACAGCCTCACTAGCATCTGTTGTTTCCTGACTTTTTAATAATTGCTATTCTAACTGGCATGAGATGGTATCTGATTGTGGTTTTGATTTGCATTTCTCTAATGACCAGTGATGATGAGCTTTTTTTCATATGTTTGTTTTCACACAAATGTCTTCTTTTGAGAAGTATCTGTTCATATCCCTTGCCCACTTTTTGAGGAGGTTATTTGTTTTTTTCTTGTAAATTTGTTTAAGTTCCTTGTAGATTCTGGATACTAGACCTTTGTCAGATGAATAGATTGCAAAAATTGATTCCCATTCTCTAGGTTGCCTGTTCACCTGATGATGTTTTCACAATTGCTACACAGATAATAAAATACTTCAGAATACAACTTACAAGGAATGTGAAGGACCTCTTCAAGTAGAACTGCAAACCACTGCCCAAGGACATAAGAGAGCACACAAACAAGGAAAACATCTCATGCTCATGGATAGGAAGAATCAATATTGTGAAAATGGCCATACTGCCCAAAGTAATTTATAGATTCAATGCCGTTTCCATCAAGCTACCATTGACTTGCTTTACACAATTAGAAAAAAAAAAAAACTTTAAATTTTATATGGAACCAAAAAAGAGCCCATATAGCCAAGACAATGCTTAGCAAAAACAGCAAACCTGGAGGCATCATGATACCAGACTTCAAACTATACTACAAGGCTACAGTAACCAAAATAGCGTGGTGTTGTTACTGAAACAGATATATAGACGAATGGAACAGAACAGAGGCCTCGGAAATAACACCACAATCTACAACTATCTGATCTTTGACAAACCTGAGAAAAACAAGTAATGGGTAAAGGATTCCCTGTTTAATAAATGGTTCTGGGAAAACTGGCTAGCTGTATGCAGAAAACTGAAACTGGACCTCCTCCTTACTCTTTATACAAAAATTAACTCAAGATGGATTAAAGACTTAAATGTAAAACCTAAAACAATAAAAACCTTAGAAGAAGACCTAGGCAGTACCATTCAGGACATAAGCATGGGCAAAGACTTCATGACTAAAACACCAAAAGTAATTGCATCAAAAGCCAAAATAGACAAATAGGATCTAATTGAACTAAAGAACTTCTGCCTAGCAAAAGAAACTATCATCAGTCTGTGAATTAACTTATATATAATATAGAGAAATTAGTTCTTCTTTGTGGGCCTTAATTTTAAATATTGAAAATTGGGGATGGTAGTCAATGATTTTAAATGCCTCTAAAATATCATAATACTTAATGCAAGTATTAGTGGTGAGGAAACTAGTCTCTCTCTACATATGCATATATCTATACGTCATTCATATAATGAATATGTGAAGAAATCCCAAGTGGAACTAATAACATTATTGCTACATTCGGGCGCATTTAAAAAGAAAGCATTTTTCTTGCTTTTTCTTTTGTAATAGGTATTTAGATGTGTTTATATATAAAAGCAAAAATATATCTTATATGGGTGACTTGCTTGATTTGTTAGGAATACTTTAAGCTTACTTTTTTGGTACAGAACTTTTGGTATACCTACACTAGTCTACTTTGCAGATGTTTACATTAATCTTAGAAAGAGATTATGTAAAAATCAAATTAATACTTCTTTTAATCTTCATTTTTGTTGCCTTGATGGTTGTCTATCTTCTCTATAAGGCTTTTCTTAATTTAAAATTTAATGGTTGGCTGATTCAATCACAGAAATTTTTAAATGTTCATGAAAAACACATTTAACCTTATTGCCATAGTTCAAGGACCTTTCTTCTTCTTGCATAATATGTTATCTCAACAGCCTTGGGCCTTATTCCTTTTTATGTTCCCAAGGGTTTTTTCTTTTCTTTTTCTTTTAAAACACCATTTAAACAGTACTTTCTCATCCTATCTGAGACCACAGAGCATACTCACTATTTTCTCCAACTTTGTTTCTAATGTAATGTTCAAATGCCAATTTAGGTATAACTAATGCTTGTAACGCACTCACTATGTGACATATACTTTTTCA